CTGGGCTGGCACCCAGCGGAGCGGGGTTTAAGCCCAACTGTTTTATCATTGCAAGAATTCTTTATTGCAATTTCCGCGATGCGTTTACGGACACCAGCGGCAGTGGCGGACAACAACATTGCGTGACCCGAAACCAAGCCTACCTAAAGCAAGTTTCACAACAAGTCACAAGCACCGGTGTAGCTCAGTTAAATAAAGAAAAAAGAACCGGTGTAGATCTGTGGTAGAATACTGGACTGGCACCCAGCGGACCCGCATTTGAGCCCCACTGTGCCACTGCTGCTAAGTCATGCCTCCCTAAAGTAAGTTGGACAACAAGTTACAATCAATGGCGTAACTCACTGCTAGAATATTGGGCTGGCACCCAGCGGAGCGGGGTTTAAGCCCCACTCTTTCATTAGTGCAAGGTTTCTTTTTTTCCAATTTCGCACGATGCGTTTACGGACACCGGCGGCGGGTGTGGACAACAACAACTTTGCGGGACCCGAACGCAAAATTGCTGACTAATAAGCCACTGCCGAACACAAAAGAGTTCACTCGACACCAGCGCCCATTTATATCTAAGAGAGCAAGAGTTTCTTCCTGAACTGTGCCTCAAATTATGCAAAGATGCTTGGTCTGACGAAAATACAAAATCCTCAGTCTTACAACAAATAGAACTGTCTCTCCGATTTTCGCCTAATCAAAAGATCCATAGACCATTCGACATGCTTTGCACCGTCTGCGAATACGTGATTCATACACACCTCACTTTTTATGCCGCATGAAAAGAAGAACTTCCCGCACTGCAACCACTGCGATCATGTCAATGCGTCAGAGGGGCAGATTCTTCTAGAATGTCCGCAATACGATCAACAACGCGCTGAGCTGAGGGATCGCCTAAACCATCCATGATTACAAAAAATACTTCGACCATGGCCTGCATTCGGATAATCAAAGGCGCGCAATGGGCCCCCTTTGCGATTTTTTATGAACAAACATCTAATGAACTGTTTTTAGTTTGTATCATACCTTGCCGCTATCTGTGCGGAGTATATGTGCAATGTGATCCTGATATATTAACTGAACTATGACCATACATACTGTGCCTATTTATGCATTATATGCCCTATAATGTATGCAGTATTGTACATATTGCCTTTGGCTCGTTTTTTTTTCCTATTTTATTCTTATTTTCTTGCTCATTTGTGTGTTTATATTGTACGTTACTGTTATAATGTTGGGATAGCCGGCTCTAACGTAGCCTACCTTCATATTTTCTTCCAAATATAAAACATTAACAGCTTTCACTGTTACGAAGGGCGTGCTTACAGTTAGGTCAGTTATTCAGCTATGTTATGTTAATTCAGTTATTCAGTTATGCAAGCACTCTCCTCAGTGCTTGCATAACAGACTGTTTCGTCTTGAAGGACGAGGTAAAGCTGCTCTAAATAATTTTCACATTAGAACACTTATTACAGTTCTCGTATATTGAAGGGGCCTATACTCTACGAAAGATTGGCTTTCCTAGGGCGAACTGTTCAAATACGTGGTGTAAAAGGTGCCCTTAATAACAATTCAGAATCAAACATGTCATGTGCAGCTAGAAAACGCGTTATTTACGGTCTACTGTCACGCGTAGAAACGCATGTGAAAGCATTTCTCATGGGAGAAGTGGTGGCACCAAAGCGGGAGCAAGGTGAACTAGGACTGTCCCGTTGACTTCAGCAGCACGCAATAAGCCGATCTTGTTTTTTGTCCAGTGGCCGTGTTGAGCAAGAGACATACGTGCGATTTTCTCTGCAATTCGGCGTGTGGTGCGACGATATGACTGCTGGAGCGGTGACGTTTCGTGACGTTTCGTGACGTATTATCGCGTCGCACCGCCACATAGCCGGTGCGGTGAGCATCAAACCGGCCAGATATTTTCGTCGCAGCATCGCACCGCTACATGGCAGCAGTCAATCACAGCGCGAGCATGCGAGTGGCATCACGATGCTAGTGGCGCCATTTCCGTGTCGCCGCTCCCATCACCCCTGGTCCAAGGCACGAGGCGAGTCGATGGAGCGGTGCGAGCATGAATTTGCTGACATCGCCGACTGCGGCGGCGTGACAAACATTGAGTAATATCCCTGATGACGTAATATTAGTACGGGTTGAATAAAGTGATGCTTGAAGTGTGCCTTTTCTGCACGACAACGCCCGTTTTGAAACCGCTTGCGAGATCGGAGATCGTGAGCAGCGATGCAAGGTCATATCGCAGGTAAACACAGCTACCGGCGTATCTGCGCTGGCTCGCTTTCGCTTCCACCTTTGCTCTTCAAATCGATGGCATCGATAAAGTAATAATGTATGCTGACGCATTACATACGAGCGCAATGCTTGATAGTGTTGTCAAAAACAAGAGCTCGATGACGAGCTCGCCTGTGAACGGCGTGGGTGGCGGCCGGCGCCCTCGATGCTAGGCCTACCTGTCGGAGTCGTGAATAATCAGCTGTTGCCGTGGTTACGAAGTGCTTGTCGTTTACGAATGCGATTTATTAAATAGTTTTATAGAACGAAGCGTGGCTGTGCAATGTTGTTTGTTTTCAGCCTCATTACGAGGATACCAAGTCGTTCAACCCTGCATGCCGAGGCGCCACATGCGGGCGGAGCCTGCCACTGATAGCTCCTTTGCCCTCGTGTGTCCCGAAACGTCGCATTCGCACGCCGCACCATGCGGCGCCGCGCGCCGCATCGCACAGAACATCGCACGTCTGTCTCACGCTTTACTACATACATACATACCTACAGATGACGACCAAACCACGCCTTGAGAAGCTTCGTCCCTAAAAAACCTGCAAAATTTGCTCGATACGCCAACTCGTACTTTGCGCTCAAAAACGACGCGACGCGGATAGCGAAATGGTCTGCTATTTCTTTGTCAGGAGGGGATGCGGGTGTTTGCAAGGTGTAATGTGACGTCAGGGCCTCTGCTGCATATTCCTTCTTCTGTGAGTTAGTCACACAAGAAGCAACCAGGTGATCAAACGGGCCTTGGTATTCCGTTGGTCCACGGCAAACGCGCGCTCTTGCATCTTAGCTACAGTAAGCACTTTCAGTCCTTAGAGCCAACATAGTTCAATACAAAACGCACAAAATGTCAAATTAATAAATGTACTTGACGAGAACAGTAAGAACGTTCTGCTTTGCTAAGTAACTGTTGCACGCAAAGAAAGAAAAAAGCGTAATTCTGTGAGGGCTTCCAGTCTAGTATTAAAATGAGGAACTGCCATACATGAAGCCCTGGATAACTAGAACACCTTGATGGTCATGTCGACACAAGGGCACTCTGAGAAGAACAGCGCGTTTCTAACAATGTTCCAAAAGAAGAAGGGAAAATGTTTCCAAATTGAGAGAAAAAGCAAAGGGCCCAGGTAGAAATTGGATGAGGGGTTCAGGTAATGCTGCAAGTTGACATGAAATCGTACCACAATCAGAAAAGTTGTGTTAAATGTAAGCGAAAAGGCATGTGGTCATTTTCTAATACCGCGTCATTTCCAATGCTGCGTGTGAGATTTGATATGTGTTTGTAATATTCTTGTAGTTACATACGCTTTTAGCTACAATATCCACCCCCTGTGTGCGTGTGTAATTCGCTATTGTTATTAATGACGGGGAATATCAATCAAAGGGCTCGTTTTTAAAATGCGAAGCGTTTCTCAGCGAACTTCGGTGACTTTGAGCGTATCTATCTATAGAGCCGCCTACAACTTTTAGCTTGCCAGGCTCTTTCGATAATGGTATCAATACCAAACTTTTCATGGCATGACATGCCTGAATGAAAAACATATTCGACTAGTCATGACTTGAAAATCACGACATGTACGTCATGAATGTCAGAATTTACCTTTCATGGTCCTACAGCTCTTGCGGTGGTTTCGTTCACATGGCATGTTGCAAAACTGGTACGGTATGACATGATTGCACGGTGAACACAAGCGGCAGACCCAAACATTAAAATGATGACACGCGTGTCATGTAACAACATGACTACATTTCACGCTCATGATGCGCTCATGGCCGTTTCGCTAGCGTCACATATACCAAATTTGGTATTACGGTACGTGAATGAATGACGAAGTCGCGTGACTGATGTGAACATGATAATCACGAGAAGCTTGTCACGTAACCACATGATTACATGCCACGCTCATGATTGCTGGCAGCCATTTCACTAGCTTCACTCATACCACATTTGGTATTACAGGACGTGAATTGATAACGAAGGTATGATACTGGTGCAAACATGATAAACATCAGAAGCGCGCCGACGGGCGCTAGTTGTGCCAAGCGTCAAACTATACAGTGCTCGCGTGTTGCTGACGTAGCGTCGCTGTGCCCAGTGTGCGCGCGCCTCAACGTTACATAGGAGTATATTGGGCCAATCATGATGCGCTAGCAGCTGTTTTGCTTGCTCCACATATACCGAATTCGGTGTTACGTTACGTCAATGAGTGACAAAACATATGGCTGGTGCAAACTTGATAATGCTCACAAGCGTCTCATTTAAGAAAATCACCACGTACCACGCTCACAGCGTGCTCGCTGCCGTGTCTCTAGCTTTACATATACCTGATTCGGTATCATAGGATCTGAATAGATGCCGAGAATAAACGACACATCCAAACATGATAATTATGACATGGAAGTCATGTACGGCATCATTTACCTCCACGTCGTAACGTTGTGCTGATATTAAAGTGACATATCAACATTTCTCTTGCGTGCTTCGCATATCATTGATTCTCAGTGTACGTGGGATCTGCCAATGTTTTTATATTCATGTTTCTGCTTCGTTACCTATTGCTTCTGACTGTTTCACTGCTGTATTTTACTAATTTGATGTATATTCTTTTACGCAATGAGCCACAATGGTACGTAGCGCCCAGCCGCGTATCCTCGCCTGCGTCCTTTGTTATCAACACTGTAACCAAGAGTAGAGCTTCACGTGGGAATGCATATTGATAGAAAAAAGAGGCTTTATTCTGCAAAGTTGGCCAGCATTTTCTTTTTGGTAGCTTTATTTGGTGGCTTGGAGAGTCCCTGGACTCGGCCAGCATCGTCGGCTTGCCGGATGGCCAAGCGCTGCTTGTTCCGCAAAGAATTTGTGACTTAAATTTGCAGATACCATTTGCTGACCTTGAGGCATGTGTTTTTGGTGTGGTACTTGAAATCCTGTGGAGAAAGCACGAGATGTCTGAGTAAACGTAGGTGAATACTTTGCGGGTGACGCCTGACGTTGAACACTTCAACAAGCAGCACACCGGTTCTTCAAGTAAGATTGGAATAAGAGTCACACTAGAGCTCATAGGTCATGATGGTGACTGGTATGGGAAGACATTTATACATTAAGTAATGGCATCCAGTACACAATAGGTTTTTATCGCATAAAACAGCTTTCTTCAACTATGCAGCACCTATTAGGCATCTAAGGTAGATTAGCTGAGAGCCCGCGCACTTCGATGATCGGCATAACGCTCAAGTGTTACGTATACCCTTTCAAAAAGACGTTTTAAATAGCGTGAATGCCGTTGACTGAAATCTCGCTATGGTTTGAGTTCATACGAAAACAAATATAACAATGGTAACAAATATAATGGTCAGTGAATAAAGGTTAGCAACTTATATGTAAACCGGTCGTGTTGGCACGAGCAAGGACTATTTTAAGCTGCGAAACAGTAAGTAATGATTGCTGGATACGAGGGGCGCTTTGACAGAGATCACCACTGAATGTATTGGTGATTCCATGAGAAATGAGCTTTGTCATAATATGACAAAAGCCAGAGAAAAAAGACATTTGATTCGCATGCGCTCGCAGACACGAGACTGAACATCAGTTTCACAAACGTGATGTGCAACCGTGTTACATCTCGATCAGACTAACAACGCCCACTGCCGAGCAAAGGCGTCTGAATGTTATTGTTGCGATTACGTTATCCCTGAAATTTCTAAATCACATGTTTGTACCTAAGCTCCTTCTTTCTCAACGCTCGACATACTCACCTCAAACTGCGAATTTCTTCGGGTGCGCAAATTCCCCCCCCCCCCCCCATCGGTGACATCGGTGGGTGCACAACTATCAGAAGCATATAACAAATTCTGCATTGAATTACTATCTGGCAGCTTGTTCGTTCATCACATTTGCTAAATGTGTTATTTTATTCTAGAAAAGATCCCTCCTTGTAAAAATTCACATTTCAAATCTGCGTTTCAATGAAAACTTGAGCTCAATATGAGCATGCTTCCTACAGCCAAATGGCGATCAATCGATCAGGCCGAGAAATAGTGATCGTGGTTCTCCACAATCGCGTGAGCGATGTGGTACATCCGGGAGCTCGATATAGAGCCACAAAAAGAGGCGTTCGGGGGGAGATTAGGAAGAAGGGTTACGTGGGATAAAAGTATAAGCACTGCTCAGATCCCCCCGTGCAAAGACGCCCGTGGCTGGCGGTCGGCGCTCGTTAGTGCGCGCAGCTTTATCCAGATTTGAGCTCCTGAACAAACGCCTTGGCCTTTCAGCTGTCGGCTTAATAAAGAGTGGCTCAGGCGAAAAAACAAGAGGCAGCGCTTTGGCGATGCGGGTCATGGCTGGTGCATGAGACCCTCCTCACATTACGAGTGGATTAGATGGAGGGGGGTTCGAGGGCCATAGTCGCAGCTCTCTTGCTGTGGCCACCGTGTTGTCTTAATGTAGCAACTGAAATCATAAAATATTCGATGCGTATTACGACATGGAGCGATCTGCAGGCGCTTGAAAGAGGATGTTTCTTAAGTGTTTGCCGTATAGGAACTTATTCGTACTAAAGCCGGCAGTTTGGTGCAGCTTTTCTTTAGAAAGCGGTTGAAACCGCCATGCTACACAGTAGACGTACGCGTTCAGGTGGACGGGCTCGAATGCCGTCTTTTCAGCGAAGAGTAGCACATTCCACCCATTCGACTGGGTCTATTTTTTCTGGCATTTGCTTCCTCTCTAGAAAAGAGCCATCCTGGCGACCAGGAATCTCTCATTTCAGAACACAGTGGGATAACCAGGGTTAACCGTTGAAGCGCCTCAGACTGGCAAGCCGAGGTTTTGATAGGAGGACCTATCTTTTTCAAAGGCATCATATCATCCTTGGCATGTTAGTTTTAAAGGGGTTAATCGCGTCAACTCCTGGTTGTGGCGCGGGTCCTTGTTGATAATCGCCATCTGGAAAGCAAAAAATCTATTAGGCAGAATATTGCTCCCTTCGCTTCCCTTCAAGTCAGGTGGTAGTGATTCAAAATTGTTCTCGAAGTCAAATAAAAAAACACAAAAAATCCGGAGACCCCACGTACCTGGGAATCAGCGTTATGAAAAGCATGCGAAGGGATGATGACCGTGTTGAAATTTGTTTATTGAGCAACTCGTCATGACATGACGCTAAATATATGTACAACTGTTGCACGCACATACATATGTTGAAGAGTTGCAGATGTTTATTTAACAAGTTGTTTGCACTTGCGCAACGATGCTAAATGGAACATACGTATTAGCAACACCAGAAGCCGAAATGAAGCGCTGATGCTCGCGAGGATGCCGGCCCTGGACACTGCTATACATAAATCAACTTCTGAGCATGGACACTAACCACAATTGACGTTAGCCCGACGTGACGGCTGTATCAAAGGAGTACATCTGTAATGTTTATTAAATTGGGTAGGTAGTATACTGCAACCACTATTCACGTTTCAAGAAGATTAGCGTCTACTTGAAAAGTAGTTCCGAGACCTGGCATATCTCTGTGGTGAAATGCTTGATTGCCACGCCGAATGCTTGGGTTCGATTTCAGCTAGGACCCTGACATTTATACTTTGCATTCGTCGGGTCGACGATACCCATGTCGGGTATTTTTCACGCTTGCGCGTGAAAATTGCGCATGTGTGTTCTTGTCGTTCCTGAGTAGATACTATGTGTCGGCGTCTCTCATAATCAAATAGTGATTTTGGGACGTTAAACCCCACAAATCAATTAGATACTATGTGTCTGTAAATCCCCTGTGGCACATACCGCATACCAGCGCACATACCTCTCCATTGGTATGTGCCACTGCGTGGCGGGAAGTGCTTGACAACGTACGTGACGAGATTGTGGCAATAATAATGCCTTGACCAGCGCGTCATATTCGTCGAACTATCCTACCTTTCTATGCTAATTTTGGTTCATGACAAGTCAAGGGGTTGACCACGAGATCACCCAAACGTAAGCGGCTAGATAGATACGCTCAAAATTGCTGGAGTTCGCTAAGAGACGCTTCGCATTTTAAAAAAAAAACCAGAAAAAAACGCAAAGTTTAGTTGGTGGGCTGGCAAAGTAGTGACCCCGTCTTACGCGAAAAAACGAAATAGCTTAAAGCTTCGGAGCCGGTAGATGGTCACCGCGTCTGGTCATCATCAGGGGTTGCCGAAGATAACGGCGATGTTCGTTCCCGAACACTTATAAATGGGACGCACAACAAGAACGCAGGTACAAACAGGGGGAGAAGCAGGCGGTGTTTATTTAAACGCAAAGATGTCGAACGTAAGCGATTTCAGATGGCTTTTGAAGAGTGCGTGATTAATAGATAAGGTCATTGGCAAATTATGCTTTCTTTATCTCCATAGGTGGCCCGCTCAGCGGAATTGATTTAAGAGTTTGGCGGCATGTTGGTTGACGAAAAGGAAAATTGAGAATGCAAAAAACAATGAGCAACGAGGATAGAAACACACACAAAAAAGGGGCTATAGGCGGGGGGGGGGGGGGGTAGGTGAGACGTTACGGCAAACAGGCGGGAAAAAGAAAAAAAAGAAAAGACAGTGAGGAAAGTCGCAGAGAATTTTCTGGGTTGGCAATGTCCTCAACAAAGCGCGGTAGGAGTGGTTTTAGGAAGAGAGGAAAGAGGAAACATAGCAGTGGTTTAACGGTTCAAGCAAATAAAAACTTCGTAGTTGTATGCAGACACATTTGTATCTATAATTCAAATTGAAAAAATAAAGACAACACTAATAGTAGGATATGCAGGCTAGAAGCAATTCAATGTAGTACCGAGGTCCCCACGCAGCGTGTTGGGAGTATCCAGGCAGAGTAAGCTTCACCCCTGGGGCGACGCGTCACAGCCCCTCGAAGCCCGCCTGTACCCTGTTTATCTACCGGTGGGTGGCCGGCCGGCACTGGGGATCGAACCCCGCACATCCCGTAGCTGAAGCGGACGCGTACGTGCAATGCCACAGCTACGGTTTCAATGTAGTACTGGTTTTGTCTATTCGAAGGTTGAACTTATGTTGTCTGTAATATTGCCGCACTTATGACATGGATTTCAGTGATTCCAAGTTGATCAAATATGATTCCATGTATTTTCTTTCTCGTGTTGACCGGAAATTAGTTGTAGAACGTAAACCTTTGCTTGGTCGAAATTGTGTTCTTTTTTGTTTAAGTGACCAGCCACTGCGTAAGGTAAATTGTATTTTGTGTCTGCATGGTGGCCGTTCAGTCTTACGTGAATCGGCTGCCCAGTTTTGCCTATATGTTGCTTTCTACAGGTGGCACACTCAATACAGTATATTAAGTTGTTTAAAGTGCAGGTGAAGCTCAATGTCACCTTGTGAATGTAATCAAATGCTGGGCTTTTGACGCTGGTAGCCGGCTGTATGTGATGGCAAATGGAGCATCTGGGCCAGCCACAGGGAACAGACGTTGTCCTATTTTTTTGTTTTAAACTTTGCGGGAACAAGCATTTCTTTAATGTTAGCGTTGGGTCTGTAGACGATTTTAGGTGGTTCGAGAAAGATTTTCTTAGGTCTTTGGTTGGCGGTAGAAATTAGATACTATTTTGTGAGGATGTTGTTTGTGTTTGGGAGTGCAGTAAAAATCTTTGTATTCAGAAGAGGAGTAGTTGCCGTTGTGCTCTTAGAGCTTGGTTTGAGTGCTTCATTGTGGTCCAGTTCCAATGCGTTCGTATAGGCTTTGTCAAGGAATGTGTTAGGGTGGTTTCTGTCTAATAGTGTTCCTTTTAGGGTGTTAAGTCTGTTTACGTAGTCCTCATTTTCTACGCATATGCGGCGTAACCTTGTTGCCTGGCTTTTGAAAATGCCCTTTCTACAGTGACTTGGGTGATGGGTGTTATTATCTAAGTATTCTTGCTTTTAAACGGATTTTCTATACAGAGTTCTCTCTAGTG